AGAGAGGCAGGAAGAAAAACTATCACCTCTTGTTTTAATCCAGACTGGAAGTCGTGACTATGTGGAAATAACATTTAATCCCTGTGGGGATCTGGACTCCAGTTCGTGCAATGTTAGTGCTCAACATCCCAGATGTGTGATTAGCCCCCCAAACCTAGTTTCACAAAACAACTGAGAAATAAAAATCATGATGAAAACAGAGAAGTACCCTGATCTCCATTTAATATAGGCAAGGAGATGGGGGGTGTTTTGGTTTTTTTTTTTTTTAATGTGCAGATTTTTTTCTTATTAAAGCCAAATCATAAACATCCCTCTCTAGGTAAGTAAAGAAAAAAAAAAAATCACCATTCCAAATATTATACATGTTAATTAAAAAAAAAAAACCACAAACCCACGGCCCAGTGTCCTCTACCTTGATGAAGTAGTTTACTCCAGCAACCATCTGAGTTCTAAACTCCGTTGCAGTGAAGACATCAAAGGTTTTCCCTTCTTTTTCTTCTAGCTGAGGTTTCACCTGAAGGAAACAACAGGTTATTTAAGACTGATGCAAGATTCAGGTATTTAGGACTTAGGGCCCACGCTGCCAGTGTGCTTCAGCACCCTCCAGGTCACTGCTGCTGAACTCCCAGACGCAGAGCTCCTGCTTTTCCACCTTATTAAAGGATCAAAGTGAAAAATGTTCTGTTTTCTGTTAAAGTAAGACCAGAAATGCAGACAGGCAGCAAAGCCAAGACAACGGTGTGACTCACTTGTCACAGGCTGACACCAAGTCTGAAGCCTCCAGCAGAGAACTGTGTGGGTATTGCAGAAGGTTTATTTTGACAAATCATTTTCCCTGTTGATGTCTCAGCTTCCCTTTCCGTCCTGTGCATCTAACAACAAATGGGAAGTGGTTCAGGATCTATGTGCACAAGACTGTAGGTCTTTTTTAAAGAGAAGTTTTTAATATACACCATTTGTACAAGAAGGAAAAGGGCATTAGCTCCCTTTTCAGATTCAGAACAGCATCACAAAACTGTCACAGGCATCCAAAAATTAAGCTTTGAAGGCAAAATACCCAAGCCTGAGGTTTTACACCACTTACTTGACATCTCTAATGTTTTCAAACTGCAATTCTTTTCCAAAAAATCATTGAACCATAAAGCCTTCTGAGTTATCATCCCAGTTTCCAGAGTGTAAAACCAGTGCTCAAGAAGTCAAAGTAACTTGTCCAATACCTCAGTGGGAGGCATGAACTCACAGGAGTTGCAGCTCTTCTGTCCCACGCTTGGCTCTCTACAAGGTCCTGGCTGTACAAACGAAATTCTCGGTCAGGAGAGCAGATTTCAGGCTCTGTTTACGAGGGCAGAAGGGATTAGCCTTGGAATCCTTGCTCCAAGTGCAGTCCTACCCAGGCCTTACCTCCTGCACAGCATCATTGTGTAGCCCTCCCTCCACCCCCAGTGCAACAGTACCTGCAGTGAGGAGATTTTTCTCTTTCCAGCTATATGCTGTGCTTCCCCTTCTCCCTAAAGCCAAGGGGAATTCATACATTTGCTCTCCTGCCTGCATCCCACCTGCTTCCTTGGGGGAAACAAGTGCCAGTTTGCCACTGCTCAGGTGCTGCAGGTGAAGCAGGAACAGAAACTCCTGCAACGGGGTGAGTTCTCCCACTGCTCCAGCACTGGGGAGGCGCAGGACCAAACTCGGGTGCCTTTCCAAGGCAGCTGATCAGTGACCTGTCCCTGGGAGCCGTGACCATCCTGCACATCTTCTCTCAGAGGTGATACCTCGACGCTTCTCCAGGCTGTGAACAGTACAGCAAGAGTCAGACAATGATGTCTGGATGCTTTTGTACGTATGTTTTTTGCCATATGGAAATCAAAGTGCACCCAACAACTTGGCATCCTAAGATGCAACGAAGGGCACAGCTCCAAAAAGCACAGTCATTCGGACCTCCCTCCCCAGCTTCTCCTGAGTCAGAGGATGGAGCAAAAGGTTGAAATTTCCATCACTAGAGCTACTATTACAAATTTTAAGAAGCTGGGGAGAGGGCGGACACGAGCATCCCACTGACCCTGTGCTCCTTTAACAACCCCAGGGGCTGTGCAAGGTTGGGTTCTTAGGTCTCGAAACCGCCGTGGCTCAGCACATTTCTGTGTTTCCACCCAAAAGCTGAACACTGGGCTCCATGACTGCAGCCAGCTCGGAGCCACGTGTGTCTGCAAGCTTGCCAGGGCGTTATCTTGGCAATGACTCACCACAGCATGTGACAATTTGTCATCCTGGTTCAGTTCTGGGAGAGAAGGCCCAGGGAGAAGTACTCTCTGAAAGACCTGCTATGGTTCACCACCTCAGTCTCCACCTGGGGGTCCCGGTGGACAGTGCACTAAACACGAGCCAGCATCGCGCCCTGGGAGTAACCACAGCTCACTGGGCTGCATCAGCAGGGGCCCAGCAGGAAGAGAGAAGCGAGCCATTATTGCCCTTTACTTGGCACTTGTGAGAGCACATCTGGAATCCTGTGTCCAGTTTTTGGTCCCCAATACAAGAAAGATGGCAATAAACTGTAGCGAGCTCAGCGGAAGGCCACCATGAGGTCATACGGCCGGAGCACTGGCGCTGTTAGGAGAGGAAGGAAATGAGCTTGCTCAGCCTGGAGAAGAGAAGGCTTTGAGGAAAGCTTTCTAGGACCTACATGAAGCCAGGCTCTTTACAGAGGGGCAGAAGAATGAGATCCAACAGTCATAAATTGAAATTGGAGGTTCAGCCTGGATATAAGGAAGAACTTTTCCCCTGAGGACACTCTGGCAATCCAGCAGGTTGCCCAGAGAAATTGTGCAGCTGCCATTCTCAGAGGTTTTCAACACCTGCCTGGCCAAAGCCCGGAGCAGCCTGGGGCTGCTGACCCTTTGCTGGGCAGGAGGTGCAGTCCCTTCCCAACGAAACAAGCCAGGATTCCATCCCAGGGCTGAAAATTATCATGTCCTGAAGGCTCTTCACTGTTCTGCATGGCCTGTTTGCTCACTCCCACAGCAGGTACTAAAAAGTAGATGGTTCAAAATCACCCTGACTAACCTCTGCCACAGCTGCCAGAGAGATGCCACAGGCTGAACAGGCTGGGGTGGAAATCCTTGCCGTGGAGAGGCAGTTCCTGTGGGAATCCTAAGCCAGGTGTC